ATGGACGTGAACGACTCTATTGTACGCAGGGACTGGGAGGAATTTCAAACTTTCCTACTTGAGGTGACGTATGATATTTGGACGTATTAACTTGAACTCCGTGCAATAATTGAGCAGAAGTTCCTCTGGGAAAACGAAGACCCGACAGAAAATTGAAGATGATGACCATTTCCTCAAGATATCAAGAGGAAAGCTAATCTTCGGTATCGAAGTTTGAGTTCCTATGCTTGATCACCTTATTTCCCCCGCAGACCCCCCTTACCTTCAGCGAATGAATCGTTTGAGTAGTTCCCTTTTGAGTATTTATACCGGCATGATTTTGATTAGGTTTATTGCTGTTTGGGGGGTTGAACTTGACCTTCGAACTGGGTCTGTCGCGCTTGGATGGGATTCTTTTATGGTTCGTAATGTTTCTTCAGGATTAAAATTTTTTTTNTTTTTTTTTGTCAGAGAGCTCCCCCAGCGGTAATTGCGAACATTTTATAAGGATTTCTTTTTATACTTTTCTAACAATAAAACAATTGTGTTTCACATTTGAGGTTTGACGTCGGGTTTGACAACCAGCATGATTGTCAGGGCACTACTGTATCCATGAGGTGGAGGGAATTTGAAATTTTTTGGAGGTGGCCTGTTGGGCTGTTGTCGCTGGAATTCGTGTTAATTTCCTACAAGATGGCAATCGTGGACTTGGATTCCTTCTGAAAGGAGGAAATCTCTTCCGTGTTAAGAAAGACCTTGATCGATCCTGAAATCCCAGAGGAAAAACTACATTTTCTGATGCCGGGAGGGTTTATATGCTTCACCACCTCGCTTTCCTTCAGTTTCTACGGATAACGAGTAAACTTCATCACTTCCGAGTAATGACATTTAGAGAAGTGTGATCCATGCTTATGTTCACCAAGAAGGCTTGTTTTCAGCTTTGCATCTGATCTGTGCAGAATTTGAAATTCTTCACAGGTGGCGTGATGGACTGCTAACAATGAAATCCGCACCGATTTTCTATGAAATGTCAAAAGTGGACTAGAAGTCCTTCTGTGAAAGGAAAGTCCTTTTGTGTTACGGAAGACCATGGCCATTCCTGAATTCTCAGAGGAAAAACCACATTTTCTGATATCGGGCAGGGTTTGTGTGCTTCACCACCTTGCTTTCCCAACAGTTCCCTCAGATCTTGATCGTTTCCGAGTAACGACACCTGCATGAATGCGATTTAGACTTATTTTCGAGAAGAAGGCTTGGTTTTACCTTTTGGTATGGCCTGCGTTGTGCGGGAGGGATTTCTTTATGGCTAAAACTGAATCAATATCACGAAAATCTTTTTCTTGCCACAATTCCTTCCGCAATGATGAGAACCACTTAGAGAAATCTTCTATTAATGCTTTACCAACAATAAAACAATTGGTTTCACATTTGGGACTGACCACCGAAATGTCGTCAAGGCACTACTGTAGGCAGGAAGTGGAGGGATTTGAAATTCTTCAGAGGTGGCATGATGGGCTGCTGACGCTGAATTTCGTGTTGATTTTCTAGGGGATGACAATTATGGAATGGATATCCTCGTTTGCAATGAGAAACTTCCTCTGATTTCATGGAAACAGCGTCCTAACTGTGGTTTCAGAGAAAAAACTACATTATTTGATACCATGCAGAGTTTCTATGCTTCAACGTCTCTCTTTCATCTCATTTCCTACGGTCAGGGAGTAATCTCAATCGCTTTCGAGCAATTGCACATATATCATTGTCATTCAAGTTTATTATTTTGTCGAGAAGGCTCGGTTCACTCGTAGAACGGACTTACGCTTTGTCCAGGAGGGATTTTTCCAAGGTTCCCACTGCTTCGATCGTAGAAAGATTTTTTTGGCAATGAAGTTCTCCCAAGACCGATTGCTATCATTTCATGAGAACTTCTTTCTACACTTTCCTAACAATAAAACAATTGAGTTTTATATTTGTCGTCGGGTTTGACCACCCTGCTGCATGATTGTCAGGGCGCTACTGTAGGCAGTGGGTGGAGGGAACTTGAAACTTCACGGGTGGCGTAATGGGGTGTTAACGCTGAAATTGGTGTTGATTTTCTATGCAATGGCAACTACGCGAAAGAATCCTTTTTCTGGGAAGAAAATCCTTCCAAGTAATGTTTGTGAAGAAGATGGCCATTCCAAAAGCCTCCAACAAAAAAAGTAATCATGTTTTTTGTTTTCAAACAAAGTTTCTGTCTTCACTGAATCTTTTCCCCTCAATTCCTTCTGTCGACAAGTGGACCCCATTCAAATACGAGTAACTGGTCATATATGATTGTGATTCATACTTATTTCCGTTGAGAAGGCTTGGCTTCACTTTCAGGTCGGGCCTGCGTTTCTTAGGAGAGATTTTTTTCAAGGCTCATACTGCTTTGATTTCGAGAAGATATTTTCCTACCAAAATTCCCTCATTGATGATAAAAAACATTCCAAGAAAGCTTTTAGCAGTGCTTCGATAACACTAAAATAATCAAGTTTCACATTTCGGTCAGATCCCGGAGTGGTGGTCACTGCACTACTGTGCGTAGGTAGTGAAGGGAATGGTGGCATAATGGGGTTTAACTTCAGAATTCTTACTCTACGAAATGACAATCATGAACTGGAAACCTGTGAAGAGAAAGATCTTTTGGGTTACTGATGACGATGGCCCTTCCTATGATCTCAGTAGAAAAGCGCCAGTTCGTGGCATCAAATCGAGTTCGTGTGGTTCACTGCTGCACCTTCCTCTGAAACTTTTGATTTAGTAGAATGAGTAGTTTTTTTGGTATTTTTACCTAACTGAACGTGATTCAAGCTCATTTCTGCTAAGAAGACTAAGCTACAGCTTTCAATCGAACTTGCCGCCCTTTGACGGAATTTCTTTTTCGGCGCATGCTCTTTTGACAAGGAAAAAATTTTTTATGAGAAAAACAATTATTGTTGGTCATTTATATTAAGTTACGGATTCTATTTGAGCTTCACGAACACTAAATTAATTGTATTTCACTTCCCAGGTTCCGTTTGATCACCTCGGAGTGACTTGACCACCCTAGAATGGCTCTTCGGGCACTACTGTAGGTAAGAACAGGAGGGAATTTGAAACTCTTCAGAGATGACACATGGAACGATATCCTTGAACTTCTGACTACTCCCCGAGTAAGTGACAACACTGCAAAACTTCTGGGGAGGTGTAGATGATAGAGATGTTCCTCTCAGTGTGCCCTAGCGGGCCTTATGAGAAATCAGTGAACCCTCAGACAACACTATGTGACAGTAATCGTGATTTCTATTTCAGTATCAGTTAGAGGCTTGGAACTCCTATCTGAGGAAGTCCATTGAAATAATTAGAATACATACTCTGCTTAATTGTGGCGCTAGGAAGATTGAATTCTTATTATAAGTGGGTTAATTACATGGGGCTCTACTAAACCCTAATGTTCGTAACGGAAAGGGGTCGAACTTAATGATTACTTTGTTCTCTTTGTCTTTGCTTTCATGACTTTGTTATCCCCCATTTCGGGGTGCTTTGTTCCTGGCACTTTTTCATGTCGCACGATAACAATATCTACCTTCGATGACGTGGACATACGCAGTCCACTCTGCCACTCGGTCGGTTCCGATCTTCACAACGTTAGGGCTGCAAAGGAATGAGCTAGAGAAACAACATTCCTGTCCTTCTTTTCAATGTGAGATCAGAGCACCTTCGGGGGTACCTACTGCACGTTGCGTCCCTATAGAGGACTACCAGACAGCTAGACTGAGCTTCTGACTGTAATGACTATCGAGAGACTGAGCTGCGTGTGTACATAACAGACTGGAGTGGTGTCCACGTGTGACGGAAGAGGTTTATTGCAACACCGCTGCGCAAGGGGCTTCAAAGCCGATACTTTAGGGCACCGAAACTATGGTGGACAGATCCACCGACGAACGAACCTTCAGGAGTTCTTTACTCCGGTAATTTCTCTCATCCATTACTGTGACCATCGTAGGTGAATTACTCGTTTCATAGGTTCTTTGTTGGTCTCCTACCAGCTAGTTCATATCCCGAGCTAAATTTCTGAATTCTCTGCCCTCCTTATTTACCTTAACCATGGTGATTAGACTTTTCGTAAGCAAAAAAGATAGTCTCATATATGAACAAGAAAATCGACGACTTTTTGGAAGACAATGTTTGACAACGCAGACATGCGGGCGACGAAATGGCAAATATTTCGTAGTTTTTAGGTAGTTCTCACTTTTTTGGGGAACTATCATGGCAAGTGACTCATACGCCTAAGTAGTACCCATATTCTGAAAATTCGAGAACGCTTCAAACTACAGTAGGATATTCTCGAGCATCATTGAAGGCCTGTTTGAGTCACCGCGACTACTGAATTTTTCGTTTTGACTGAAGAGCTAAATATGGCCCCCCGATTCCAATTCTGGACCCTGCTTCCAATCGATTCAGCGATTTTGTATGGATTCTATGGAAATCGTGCCTCTCACAATGTTCCCGGCTGTTTGTTGATAATGCCATATCAGCATGCAAAGAGCAAATGTGATTTTGCTCCGAGTGTTGGGCGGTTGTTTGCTCTTGCAGGTTTTGCCGAGCGGCCAAGCAGCTGATGACAAAGTGTATTCCATATCGAATGACTCATCGAATATTCGTCAATATTCTTGAAGGCCTATTCACCATCGTTTAGACGTCGTTTAATTTGCCTTTAGCCTCGTTTTCAGAGTTTTCTGTTCAAGTATCCCCCATGTGAGACAAGATGTACGACGAGGAGCCGCGTGCATTCTGCAACATGCCCCTCAGCGTAAGTTTATTCCGTTTATTTTGAAGTCACATAGTTCAGTGTCCCCCTCCACCAAAAAAATTAAAACATGTCTGGGTTCCCTTTTAACCGAGTATAGTTTAACCAAACTGGGTTGAACCTGGTTCGAGAGGTATACTCCTCTGGTAATACCTTTGTTGCTTCCCTTTTCCTTATCCTTCTGCTGAAAATCAAGTGGGGATGACGAGGAGAGCGAAGGAGGGGGGAGGGGGGATGGGGGAAGCATACCCTTCAATGGGTTTGGTTCGAACCATTTTTAATTACCTTTACCTTCAAATACATTTGATATTTTCCCATTGGCTCAATAGTTTGATCCGTTTCTTCCCCTTCCTATTCATCCAGTCTTGCAACTGCGAGGGTAATAGTGGGAAAGAAGGTTGAGTGCCACATAAAATTAATACCCTGACCGGTCCTGTTCGCATTTTTCTGCTGATGGTAGTTTTGCGATAGACTTGTTTGTTTATTTGTTTTTTTATGTTCACACCTACTTTTGTTAACAGTGTGAGTGTGATGGGGAGTTCTCTTAGGGAGTCGAATCATATATTACCATTCCAGTCATGTAGCAAGAGCAAGCCAGGTGGAGTGCTTGCATAGCAATCAAATCTCACTTCACCTCTACTGGTTCTGTGGAATATGCTTGATCTTGATGTCTCTTAGACCTTTCTTCAAATCCTTTCAATATTNGTAGTGGAGAACGAGTGGAGGTATGGAGTGGTGAAATACAGCGTGTGGAAGGGGCTAGGGTGGGCTGAAAGATCATTCACAGCTCAATCCCTGTAGTATTATTCGAAATATTATTCGAAACAAGGAAAAACAACTGAAAGCATCAAATAGCTAGTGATAGCTTTAAAAATTTCTTATTTATATTTTCAGGGCACTGTTGGAATACTCAGCTCTTTGGTTCTCCTCTCACAAGTGATCGCATTATTTCTTGTCTGCTCCAATAATTTTTTCATTTATTTCTTCGAACTTCTGATCGCATTTGGAATGGTATTCTTCCTTTCACAAGGCATACGTCAGCAAAAACCTGGGCATTTAACAATTTACATAGCCTATTTGGTAAGTTGTTGCAAATTTTTGGGAGGGATTCATTTTTTTGGCTTCCGGGCCATGGAATGAATGTATCCGACAATCCAACATTTTATAGCTTTCTTAACAAGCAATGCAAATTTCCTTTTCTCTCGGCTATCAAAGGTTGAATGTGATTGATAAGCGCGGTGTGAATCTGAAAAAAGTTCCCTTGTTTGCTGTGCCAAGGTGTACGAAAAATCTTGAATGAGCACTAAAACTGGCTTTTTCTTCTATTGATCCATCAGTCAAGAGTTTTGAACGGCTGGTAGCGGTTGATGGCGTATCAGAAACAATAACTGCAGTGCTGACAAGCTTGAAAAGAAAAGAGAATTGAATGAGGTAGGATCAAATCGATGGTCTCAGAAATTGTAATTGCTAATGTCGTTCCAAGAAGCGGCTTCCATTTTGACTATTCACGGACTTGATCGGCCAAGAAGCCTAGCTTAGCAAACGATTTCCTCGAGAGACCGAACTGCTCTGTTACCATGAAGAAAAGGGATAGAGTGGCCTGAACAGATACCTGCGATGGTCATTCAATGTAAAAGTCAAAGTGTTAGCCTCCCAGACGAGTCTCGACCAAATGACCAACATCGGATATATGATAAACCTGATCGAACTGGTCGAGAATCTATCCTGCATTTGATCCCGAACAGTGCCCGCGGGGTGGTGCGATATATTTACTTCCGATCATTTCGAAGTAGGCTTCGAAGCTCAAAGACTTATGAAGGCTGTGCTTATCAATTGATTTGTTGTTTTTGTTCTTTTTTCTTGCTGGCTAACAGGAATTCTAGGAAAAAGTGATCAAAAAATTTTCGAATTTTATTTGAGATTTTCAGTCCAAGGTAAGGCATTTTCAGGCCATTTACGTGTTTATGATGCTCTTCATAATCTTCGGAATACTGGTTGGTTTGAGTTTTTTGCCAAGTTATAGACATAAGTACTGTGATGAAATCGTTGTGACGATGAGAACTACAAAGATGTCATCATCCCCCGCATCTCCATTGGAAACAAATCGTATAGGTATGGAAATGCTCATTTGAATCGGTTCCTCTTTCAGATTGTCTTCTGTTGTCCGTTAAATGTCTACCAATTGAGTGTTTACTAAAGGTTAAAAAACAATAATTCAAGGGGAACCTATTCGGCAGCCTCCCTATGGTCCCCTGAAACCAAATTAACTTTAATCTGTTAGTAACATTCACCCCGGTGAAGCGTTTGTAGTTAGCATTATTCCGTGGATGCGCCATACGCTCCACTTCTTTCTGAAATCATAGCAGTAATTGAAAGCACAATTGGTTATGTAGTTCACTGCTTTCATGCTGTCATAGAACTTGTACCGGCGATAACTGGTTCAAAAGTTTATTTAGCTCTTTTGTCACTCCACGTTTGCTCTTTGTTAGTCTGTAGTCCCTGAAATAAATGATTTAAATCTTACTCGGCTAATCGATCTTCAAACGTTATCGACCGTATTTACGAATTCTTTTCAAATTTTCAGAAAATCCCTCCTCGCACAGTGACTCTGATGAGGATGACGATCCCAACTGTGTCCCACTGAACGGAGCATGTAAGTGAATTTCCTGTCTTTTTCAGTCATTTTGATCAATGGATACCCTTTTGTTTTAAAATTTGCCTAAATTTCATTTTCTGAAGCCTACTTTTCAGTTTGGGCAAGCGTTTGGGTGTCAGTGGGGCTTTCCATCCTTAGTGTGCTGATTGCGTGCATTCAGATTCGTTATACTCTGGTACTCTACAGGTTCCTACGAACACGCCAACGACAGTACGTTACCAAAAGTTTTAGCTATTGAGCTATTGATTCGTCTTTATCGACTTGTTTTTTGAATTTCTGGTTTTCGCCGGATTCATGCCAAAATTATTACGGCTCCAATTACTAAGTGCCCCTCTGAGTGAATAATTTCGGTCCAGAAGACTTAGCTTTTCCCGTCAATAGGAATTAGCCAGTACCCAGTAACTGCCTGAGTCTATAAACTCCTTAGGGCTCTCAGTATGGCCACTTACGGTGCTACTACGAGCTTTTCTTCAAAGAGCCGAAGAGAAATGGTCCAGTGACTAGCTGTATCATTTGAATTAGGGGCTACCTCCCCTCCTCCTCCCCCCTCCCCCTTCAGCATATGCTCAGCCTTTGATTTCGTTAAGCACGAATAGGTCCAGATTTTGAATGGATTGGTTTACAGAGGAGGAATTCATAATTTCAGGCTTCGCTCAACAATGAACGTCAGCTATCAGCACTTTGTACCCGGTGCACCTCCACGTTACACACCCGAATCTCCTCACACCATTCAGACTTCACCAGCACAGGTAGAAGTGGGTCCTCTGCCACCGAAACTTAGTCAACCTGAAGTAGCTACGCTGCACGCCGAGTCGCTAATGACACCACCAGCAAATCCACCTCCGTCACCAATGGAAAAGCCCATCCTACCTGCGCCATTCCTACGCGTAGAAGGACCACCGGAATATACTGAAAGGCCTGGACCGTCTGAAATCACCTATGTGACTCCTACACGACCACACGAAAATATGGAGGAGGTCGACCTCAACGAGGTTAGATCTCCATCGCGGGTTAATCTTCTCCATTAGTTTGATTGTGTGTATTCAGAGATTTGTATTGGAAATAAAGATGAAAAACTTCTCGTTTCGCAATTTCAAAAACTTCTCTCAGTGTCTTATTAGTACTTCCTAGATATCAGGTGACCAAGGCTTGTTGGTTATGTGTACAGATTGAGAGCTCATGATTGTGGGGATAGTGGGGCAGTAAGTCAAAGGGTTGGCTGAATGTTTGCGAGTTCGGCTACTTGTAGGGACGTGGAGCTTTCAGGCGTCGTGTAACTCCATCTTGACGGCTAGCTCTGACCAGTTCTCAACACCGAGGTTATGATAGAATAACAGTGATGAATTGAAGTGAAATAACACTCAAATGAGTGGTTTACCCCATTTGAAGGCGAATACTAGCAGGTACGTTCTCATTATGTCAATGTTCTCTCACGTTCTCAGCTTGTCTGCTACTTTAACAGAAAAGGCTCCAAAGTTAACGTCGGCAGCTACGAGTGACAACGGCTTCACGATCAGAGTTCTCCAGAATCAACCAAACTTAAATCCTGTTGAGTGGAACTTTAAAAAAGAAGGAGGCGATGTGTTAGGGTAGTAGTGGCCTTGTATAGATGAAGACTGACCCTATAATTCACTGCATAGATTCTAAATTGAAGTTCTCGAGAGATGACACATGCCAGAAAACTTTTGTTGAATATCTCATAACCTACTTCAAATCTTTGTAGAATGAGTGAACGAGTGAGTTCTAGTTCTTTAGTCCCTCAGAGAGCAGGATTTCAACTCATTTATTCTGTGAACTCGTTTCCGTAAATATTATTATGAAAGGCTAATTGGATTAATGTTTTTCGTAAAAACTAAGCTGACAAACAGCTCGGACACTAGCCCTAAAAGGTATTGACGAAGCTCACAGTCAACATCCACTCGAAAAACTCCTCCCGGATGAAGCCAATCCTATTTGAAGAGGTCATCGTCAGAAAACAATAAAGAAACCAGATAATTTGTGAAAAATGTGTGGTGATCAAAAGAAAGCTTAGAGGCAGTCTACGCTGGTTAAAAAATGATTACGGTCAAAAATTGGAGAATAAGTTGGTATTGTTGGTTTTGCCCGAGTAGGGCCACAGACTCAGTTCAAACTTCACCCATGACTTCATTCTTACCCAAGCCCCTCTAGAGCATGTCCAAGTGCGGGATGTGCGCTTAGATTAAAAAATTCGTTTGATAACACCTTGAAAACTTTTCAAGATCCAGTAAGTGCCTCTCTGCCAGTGTAAGGAAACTATCGGAGAATGCAGACGGGTCAGTTTCACTTTAACTCTGCTCCTCACTACGGATAGAATAAGGAGTCTTCCTTTGCCTCTTCAATCCGGGCATTTCTGCCTACATTATCGTCCATTAGCCTGAATTAATGATATCTGACTCCACATGTTCCTTTTTCTCTGTTATTACGCATTTCACGAAGACAGGTCAGTTTCCGGGTTGTCATCCCAACAGTAGAGCTCCACAGGCGACATTTTAAAAGTGCACGTGGGAAATGTTTTCAGTTGTGGTTGTTCCCAAACACATGAAGTAATTCGATTCACTGATGCGATTCAGGAAGTCTACCTATTCCGCCCAGTTTCTACTACGAACATGAGCTTCCCGACACCCTAGGGAATAAACCCTGATCGAGTTCGTTCATGGTGAAACGAATAACACCTTTCGTGTATACTCGTTCACGTGTGCGTCATACTGGACAGAGTGTAGACATTTCAGCTCGATTGAATTTGTTTCCTTCGGCTCCCAGGAACTATGGCTCATAGTTCCTGGTCTACTGGCCCTGAGAGGTTCTCTGGTAGACATACATGGGCTTTTTCTACCCCGTCTTTGCTGCACAATGCTGTTCGTTCTTGCAGTCACCCCATTTACTCTCGTTCTCTTTTTATAGCATAGAAGACGAGTTTAATATGCTCTTTGATGTATTAGTTTGATTTATAAATAGTTGCTGCACATAATTTGTTACTTTACCCTGACATTTGTCAAAATTTCGAAGCGGAGATAACCATCAGAAAGCATTTCCAAGAGAAATCCGAGCCAAGCGCTCTTGACCATGAATTTATCGGCCTCGATGCACCGCGCATTCAACTTTTTTTCAAAAACTGAGAAGGATGTGTTCTTATCGCAATCAGTGACTGGAAGAGCAGGCTGATTTCAATGAACGCTTTTACTCACTCGAGAAACTCACCTTTCTATCAGCGAATTTAGGAAGGTGGTGTAGTGGCAAGTGGCGCACTATATCAGGGGTTCGAATCCCGGATCGATGCCCGCCTACGCCAACCAAGCCTTCCATCCCTCCTGGATCGGTGAATTGGTACCAGACTCGTCTGGGAGGATAAAAGCACTGACTTGTACATCGGCTGGCCACCGCAAGTCGTTGTATAGGCCACATACGCACTCATTACGCCACTACGATTCTGAATGGAAGTCGAGTGCGGGGGCGCATCCCTCAGATGGGATTGATCAACGCCAAAAACTTTAGCCTTTTTATCCTTTTCTCAACGAATTTATAGAAACTCGGTAGAGTTCTTGATTAGCTTGTCCACATTAGGTCCTAGAGGTGAACCTCACAGCATATGTCCGCTGTAATAATATCAATCCGTCCTTTAGCTGCCTGGAGTTTCCCTGAACTAAAATTTAAAAAAGAATTCATGGAAGCACGAGGGTTTTCCAAGTACTCGATTTAAAAAGTTATTCGAATCCTTCATATAGTTTTTAGGTTTAGGCACAGTTAATGAAGCCTATGTACTAGGTGAAAAAAATTCGATGAAATGGAGATCGTGCCCAATTACTTCCATCCAGTATGACGTAATGAAGCCTTTAATATATAAACCTATATAGCCTTAAATGGATTACATCCGCCTTCTCCTTCATAACTATGCGTCTCCAACGAACGCTTTTTCTGTAATACTTTTAATACAACTTCTATCAATTGCGTTTTGCACTGAATACATCCCTAGATGCCGCCGCCACTGCACTTGCCTCCATATGGCTCGAAAAGAGTGGCCTATCAGGTTGCCGATATTCATTGTATGATAGCTAAACCTATTTCCCTGTCAGTCTGAGAGCACAGTAGAATGTGAAGTTTCAGGTGAAATTCAAGAATTAACAGAAATCCCTACTGATACCCCTTTATCTATTTTTACTGCGACAACCTTCCTAGTACGTGGTAATTTACGGTATGCTGCGACTAGTCCACAGTAAGGATGATTTTTTTACCTTTTGGTTGAGAGGCAACGAGCGAGTCTCCAGCCAGCTGCCAGTATCAAGCACAACATCGTGGAAACATTCAACAACAGGCTACTCTATTTCCCATTCTATTTCCCCGTTCTGAATAGCCGTTCAGATCGAAAATTATAAAAAAATTACGTAAAAATGAATTTATGACGACAAACTTCCCACTCACACNAAAAAAAAATTACGTAAAAATGAATTTATGACGACAAACTTCCCACTCACACGCACTTTTACTTCTTGGTAAAAAATTCGATCTGGGAAAACTTTAGAAGGCAGAGAAACAAAGACTCAGCGTGTTTCACGTGACCGAAGCATTTCATTAAGAGAAATGTACGCTTATTCATCATCCGAGAAACATGACACGCATTCGTTAATCATTTAGTACCATTAGAATAACTAGAACCTCCATTGAAGGCTGTGTGGGCAGTTTGCTTATATGAATGGGGGCTACGGTACCTGCACGTGGTAGGTGACTCTGAGTGACCACAAGGTTCCCTGCGTAAGGTTTGCGGTAATTTGGTAATTACCTTGGTTGAACTCGAACAGACCAGTAAAACGACAGCTTAACAATACGGTACAATACAAAAGGTTAAGATGTACAATAACAACAATGAGATCTTATAAGAGGGATTTATGTTGGCCCTACTTCTGAGGGCGCCAAGGTGTTAAAAGTTGCAGTCTCTCTCCTTGGGGATGAGGTTGAGAGCGGGTGCCTGAAAGGCTTCCCCTTCCAGAAGAAATTCGTGTCCGACTCGAAGGGAGAATCACTGGATGAGATATATGCCCTTTTATATGCAGCTCTTGCCGCGCACGGATATTTCGTAATCTTACTGTCCATCTTTACCTCGATTTCGCGCCTTCCTCACATCCTCGGAACCCTCAAGAAAGGTCCCCCCTCGTCCCACTCGTCTAAGTCTAAGCTGAAATTTCTTCGACGATCCTTTTATATGTACAACTTTCTTTTTTCCTTTTTTACAACGGTGGCCCGTCCCACATTTGCGTGGTCCATGCCAAATCGCTATCTTGAAGGGCTGCGCTGCCTTGCCCTCCTCATCGTGCCTCCCTTTCTGTGGAGAGTCTTCAACTTCCTTCTTTGGCTTCTCTGCTGGCGTCCACTCGCTTGCCCAAAACACCCTGACACTCTCGTACCGTCTTGTGATGCCATAGAATCCTGTTCGACCAGGCTCGTCATAGGTTCCCAACGACCTACGTGAGTGGTCCCATCCTCCCGCTCTTGCATTGCCACTTTATCGTACGTTGTTCACGACCTGTCTCACTTTCTCAATCGCTGCCTTCATCAAATTGTAGAGCTTGGGCCATTTCTTTTCTTGCTCCGAGGTCCGGTGCCCCATTTCGGCTATGCCAATGGCGACTTGCACGTTCCTCGACGCAAGTCCTTCTAGCCACCGTGCCAAGTCCCAAACGATGCGGTCGATACTCGCTTCTTCGGCGCCAACGATCACGTACGTCCGAATTTAGTTCTATCTGAGGTAGCTCGTCAATACTGCATGTGACCCCAGCACGGCATCGTTCAACAACATGCGAATTTTCGACAAGCAGCGAGATGTAAGCAGCTATTGCTGCCTTTTTTCATATGAATCGGTCCCTTCCATACTTGGCCGTTCACCCACTTTAGAGCTGCTTGGTGGATTCCACTTATGTAGATGACGATATCCTAATCCTGCATAACTTCATAATAGACAACTGGTTGCACGTTTTCCAGGCTCATCTGGACGTGCAGGCACTTCCTCCTGAAATAG